AGGTTGATAGACATCTCTCCCTCCTCACAGCTCTGGGCAGACTCACGCCTAGATACTGGACAGGTTGCATGCAGCCCCACAGTTTCATGCAGCCTCCACTGGCTCATGTTATTCGCTAATTTTTTTGTTATCTGCAAGTGTACGGCGTAGCTATAGATAGTGCGAAAAAGGCCGTATTCCACAGAGATTGTAATTAAATTATTTAAGTATTAAAATAATGACGATCAAATAATATCTATACTAATGAATATGGAATAAAATCTAGAAATAATTAGAAATTAACTAGAAACTAATTTGTCTAAGAAAAAAAAAAAGCTTGATCTAAAATATGGAATAAATAAGATACAAAAGATGTATTTAGGCTAAGCGTTCCTTAGAATTAATATCTGAAACGTTTAAATTCATCCAAAGCTTATTTAGTTTTGTAAATCATAGAGATAATCACAAAACTAATTTAACATTTCTCTCAAACAAGTAAAATCGTAACTTAATTTCTATATATCTCCTATCACTCTCAAAATGAACAATTTACTCCTTAAATTCCTAAGATTTTCGTTCTCTCGCAAGGTCCTATCAACATCTCGGTCTGTTTATTCTCTTTATAAATTTCTCAATTTTAATAATCAAGTATCTCCTCTCGGTTTCAAATTGATCACAAATATGCATTCTTATTGGTCATCTTAGGGCTGAGCATGAGACTCGGAGAATTCTAAACCGTTTAGAAACCAAACTGAAATCACTTTGAACATAAAAATAACCGTTGACCATTTGACTTTCTCCGAACCGAACCGAAGCGAAAAAATAATTGGTACGGTTCTGGAAATTTCACAAATATCTGTACCGAGAACTGAATCGAATCGTCCCATAATGTCCCGAACCGAGAACCGAAATTAAGAACTGAATTGTAACATTAGATGTGTTATTAATATATTTTATGTCAACTTTGATCCTATATAATATAGTAATAAAGAATTAACCTTCACTTAAATTTTATGCTTAATAATACTTGATCTACAATTGAATTTTTTCTATTATAAAATAATAATTATTTAAAATAAAATGAGAGGTTAAAGAATACTAGTGTGTAGCCCGTGCGATGCATGGGAAACAATATTAAATAATAGTATTATAAATAGGTCTTGATTTTGAGTCACTAAATGGAGGAAATAGAAACTATTATTGATCATATTTAGAAAGAGGAAGAAAAAAAAAATAACTATAAATTAAATAGGAGGATAAACAATACTTAATAATTATAAATTAAAGATTCAGAGTCAAACAATGTTAAATTATCTTGTATAATAGAATATAAAATTTGTAGGTTTAATATTAAAATTACCTAAAATATTATATTAATATATGTAAAAGTATTTAAAAATTTTTATGTTAGTTTTGAAAGATGTGAAGTCACCTACAACTTTTCTAAACTATTTTGGAAAGAAAACATATAAAAAAAAAACATTTAAATTTAACATCTTTTGTAAAGAAAATATGTCTACAAATATTTATATTTAACATCAATTATGTATATGTGAATATGTATATATATATGGATTTTCTAAACAATTTTGAAAAAAAAAATATATAAAAAATATTTAAATTTAACACCTTTTGTACAGAAAACATGTCTACAACTATTTAAATTTAACATCAATAATAAAAACATTAGGTAAGATGATACTGGGATTTATGAAGTTACTCCCATCCAAAATATTTAATTACACAATTTAATTTATTTTTTTTTTACGTTGTTACCATATAAAAGAATTTGTAAAAATATTAGTAATTAAACAAGTGAAAGTTAGAGCATGTTTGGATATGAAAATTTTTAGTTTTGTTGGATTTTTTTGTTTGGTTTGGTTAATTTTGAAAAATATAGTATGATCAATTGTTAGTGGGTATATTAAAATAATATTTAGAATAAAATAATTAAAATTTGATGTGATTGTTAGTTAAAATAATGCGTGTGGATGAATAGTGAATTAAGGTTGATGTGATGTGTATAAATGATTGGTTGATATTATTTTATTATATTGATAATATTGATGATAGTGGGGTTGAGTTAAAGTTAAGTTAAAAAAGTGGTTGAGTTAAAATGTTGAAATTTTTTGTGAGAATTCTTGTATACAAACATGCTATTAGCTTTTTTAAATAAAAAAATAACGTAGATAATGGATTTGTAGTAGTAATTAGACATGAATGTGAATTAGTTTTTTTTAATCTGTATAGATAATGGATGAGATTTAAACTCGTGACACTTATGTAGTGGGATTTTGTAACAAATAAGAAATAAGATTTTTTAAACTCGTATAGATTTAACTCGCGAATTAGCGTGAGTTACGCATAATAATTCCATACTGAAGATAAACAAATAGATAAAACGTGAGATTAATTTGCTAACGAAATTCTCTACCAATATATCTCTAACAAACACGTGCAAGTA